GGGGGGGTCCCAGGGGGGCACCCACCGGCCTTGCTGCAGTCGACGGTGAAGGAGTTCTTCTGGCCCACGAAGCCCTTGCTGAGCCCCAGCCCCTTGGCCACCACCTTGGAGGCGTCGCAGAACTTGGGGGGTCCCCCCAGGGGGGCTCCCCCGGCGCTGGGGGTGGTCGTGGCCCCCCCCGGGCTCGGCCCGAATCCCCCCCGAGTCCACGAGCACCGAGGAGCTCTCGCGGAGGCTGTGGCTGCTCACCAGGCGGGGCCCTGGGGGGACACCCCAAAATCAGGGGCCTGAACCCCAAATCACAGCCCTGACCCCTGAAATTATGGCCCTGAACCCCAAAAACGTGGCCCTGAACCCCAAAATCACAGCCCTGAACCCCAAAATCATGGGCCTGAACCCCAAAAACACAGCCCTGAACCCCAAAATCATGGGCCTGAACCCCAAAAACACAGCCCTGAACCCCAAAATCATGGGCCTGAACCCCAAAACCACAGCCCTGAACCCAAAAATCATGGGCCTGAACCCCAAATTCACGGCCCTGCCCTCCCAGCACCGAGGAGCTCTTGCAGAGGCCGTGGCTGCTCGCCAGGCGTGGCCCTGGGGGGACACCCCAAAATCAGGGGCCTGAACCCCCCAAATCCCCCCAGAACCCCCCCAAAACCCCCCCAAACCCCTCCAAGCCCCCCCCAAACCCCTCTAAACCCCTCTCACCGGTGATCTTGGCCTTGAAGGGGCTGCCCACGATGTGGTGTGGCCCCCCGAATTTGATGGCGATGAGGTAACTGCCGGGGGCCATGGGGGTGTAGGTGACCCGGAAGCCCTCGGGGCACTCGTGGCACTCCATGGTCACCTTGGAGGGACCCTCGATGGTCACGGCCAGAGCCCCCGGGCCCGCCTTGGACGTGTTCACCACGAACTCCGCGGGAGAGCCTGGACAGGGGGGGCACACGGGGTTCAGGGACCCCCACAGAGGGACACCAAATCCCAGAGAGGGACCCCAATCCCATGGGGTTCATCCAGAAACCTTCTGAGACCCCTCAAACCCACAGAGGGACCCCAAATCCCAGAGAGAGATCCCAATCCCATCAGTTCATCCAGAACCCTTCTTAGACCCCCCCCAGATCCCACAGAGGGACCTCAGATCCCCCAGAAGGACCCCAATCCCACAGAGGGACCCCAGTCCCATGGGGTTCATCCAGAACCCTTCTGAGACCCCCCAGATCCCACAGAGGGATCCCAATCCCATGGGGTTCATCCCAACCCCCCAGAGCCTCCAGGCCCACCTTGGATGTGTTCACCACAAACCCCATGGGGGAGCCTGGGCAGGGGGCACAAGTCTCCAGCCTGTCCCCGTTCCCCCTGTGCCCCCCATCCCTTGGTCCCCCCCTGCCCCCCTCAATACCCCCCTTGATGCCCCCCATACCTGTGGTGCCCCCCTCAAGGCCGGGCCCGTAGGCCGACACCAGCCCGGGGTCTCCGGCCTGTCCTGGTTCCCCCCATACCCTGGTATCCCCCATACCCCTGGTACCCCCCATACCTCCTCCATTCCCTTGTGCCCCCCTCAGTGCCCCCCTCAGTGCCCCCCTCAATGCCCCCCATACCTGTGGTGCCCCCCTCGAGGCCGGGCCCGTAGGCCGACACCAGCCCGGGGTCCGCGGCCTGTCCCGATTCCCCCCATGCCCCCCACATCCCATTGCCCCTTGTACTCCTGGTATCCCCCATCCTCTGGTACCCCCTGTGCCCCCTCCATCCCCTGGTACTCTCTTCAATGCCCCCTCAATGCCCCCATTGTACCTGTGGTGCCCCCCTCCAGGCCGGGCCTGTAGGCCAACACGAGCCCGGGGTCTCCGGCCTGTCCCGGTTCCCCCCATATCCCATTGCCCCCTGTACCCTGGTACCCCCCATGCCCCCCTTCAATGCCCCCATTGTACCTGTGGTGCCCCCCTCGAGGCCGGGCCCGTAGGCCGAAACCAGCCCGGGGTCTCCGGCCTGTCCCGGTTCTCCCACTCGGACCTTGAAGGGGCTCCCTGGAATGTGGGACCCCTCGAACTTGACGTCGATGGAGTAGACGCCGTTCTCCCGAGGGATGAAGCGCACGGCGTATTTGTCTGGGGGGAAACGGGGGGAAAAGGGGGGTCAGGGGGACCCCCAAAACCTCCACAGCCCCCCCAAAATCCTGCATTGATCCCCTGAGACCACCCAGAGCCCCCCACACCCCCTGAGGGATGAACCACACAATGTACTTGTCTGGGGGGAAAGGGGGGGTCAGGGGGGACCCCAAAACATCCATGGCCCCCCAAAATCCTGCACTGAGCCCCCAAAATCCTGCACTGAGCCCCTGAGACCCCCAAACCTCATCCTGATCCCACCCTGATCCCCCCAAACCCCACGGGATGAACTTGTCTGGGGGAAAAGGGGGGAAAAGAGGGGTCAGAGGGACCCCCAAAACCCTGCACTGCCCCCCGACACCCCTCAAAACCGGGGCAGGTTTTGGGGTGTCCCTCAGGTTTTGGGGTGTCCGTGGAGGGTCCCTCAGGTTTTGGGGTGTCCCCGGGGTGTCCCCTCACCTTCAGTGACCTCAGAGATGTGACACAGCCCCACAGCTCCCGAGGGACTGTGCACTTTGGGGTGGGGACGGGGCAGGTTTCGGGGTCTCCCCCGGGGCAATGGCAATTCCCAGAAGGACGGGGCAGGTTTTGGGGTGTCCCTGTGGGATGGGGCAGTTTTTGGGGTGTCCCCTCACCTTCAATGACCCCAGAGATGTGACATAGCCCCACAGCTCCCGAGGGACTGTGCACTTTGCGGTGGGGATGGGGCAGGTTTTGGTGATTCCCAGACGGATGGGGCAGGTTTTGGGGTGTCCCTGGAGGGTCCCTCAGTTTTTGGGGTGTCCCCGGGGTGTCCCCTCACCTTCAGTGACCTCGGAGATGTGACACAGCCCCACAGCTCCCGAGGGACGGGGCACTTTGGGGTGGGGACAGGGCAGGTTTCGGGGTCTCCCTCGGGGCAATGGCGATTCCCAGAGGGACAGGGCAGGTTTTGGGGTGTCCCCATGGGATGGGGCAGTTTTTGGGGTGTCCCCGGGGTGCCCCCTCACCTTCAGTGACCTCGGAGATGTGACACTCCTCCACAGCTCCCGAGGGACTGTGCACTTTGGCGTCCAGGGCTCCCTTGGCCCCGTTGAGGCTGACGGCGAACGAGGCCGGCTGGTGAACCTTGAGCCCCGACTCCTGGGGGGGGGACACGTCAGCCCCCACACCGGGGGGACCCCAAACCAGGGGCAGGACCCCCAAACCCGGGGGAGAGCCCCCAACCCCCCAGCACAGCCCCCCCCCCCCCCCGGGGCCCCCCCAAGGGCCCCCCCCCCCCCCCCCCGGGGGGGTCTCAGGGGGGGGAGTTTAGGGACCCCCCCAAAAAGGGTCTGAGGGGGGGCCGGCCCCCCAAAATCGGGGGGGGGGGTGGGTTATGGCAGAAGCCCACCCTGGATGACCTCGGGGGGGTGGATACCCCCAAATCCTTATCCTGAAAAAGCCCAGGGGGGTGAACAACCCCAAAAACCCACCTCAAGAAGATTTTGGGGTGGGACCCCAAAACTTTCACCCCAAAGATCCTGAGGGGGAAGGGGAGGGGGGGAATGAACACCCCCTAAAATCCCCCACCCCAAATAACCCTGGGGTGGGACCCCAAAAATTCTCACCCCAAAGATCCTGGGGGGGG